CGGGCCTTAGGGATTTAAGTACAGCGTTATGTGAAAGCAATAACCTTGGACGAGCACAGCTAGTTGTGGCTCTGTGAATGGACAGACTATAATGACCCACAAACGTCATCGAAGCGTACGATATTTTGGTACATACAACTTACTAACATGGAAATACAGATGTGTAATATTGAATAGAGCGCCGGAATTCCTTGATTTTTATTCTCTATATTGTGATTGACACACGTGCCGTATAGAAGTATATATCTAAAAAGCTTTACTGTGTAAATGTTAATATAAACAAGACTGATATAATATTTGACTCCGCTAGAAGCAGAATAGCCTAACTGCAATTTTTATGACTTGAGTTATATTTTCATAGTCTAAAAATGTTAGTTTACAAGAGCAGTTACGGAAAATTGTGAACATAATTTTTACACAAATAATAGTTAAACTCATTTTCGCCTAACTTAACTGTGCATTTTTATTTTGCATCTTATTGAAAATCATATTTTTTTGTTATTAGGCCACTTCAAGCCTCAAATTTTTATTCTATTACATTCATTTTTTTTATGGCTCGATTACTTTGATCGATAATTTCACTAAATATTACAAAGGGAAATTAGATTTTACACAATTTTGCTATGATTGTTATTATCAAAACAAAACGTGCTAGAATGATGTATTTTTACATTAATGTGGCTTGGAAGGTTCTGAGCATGCAAAATTTTATTAAAATAAGCCAAGTAGATTTTTTTTACATCCCTGGATTTTTTTTACATCTATAGCTTGACAGTTGATTGAACCACAATCATTAATAACCGCGAAGCGCGTGTTGTCATCTACTTGTTACAAATAGATTAAAGATCTTTTAAACGAACAAAAATCAAACTCAATTTGCGCTCTTTCCTTGTACTAAAAGCTTAGTGTTACAATAGGTATAATGCACAGGTAAATTTAATGTTATAAGTGTGATGGCACTCTGTACGATGGAATATTATTAATGATAGTATCTTGTAACGATTGTCAATCTATGATTATTCGATACAGCAATATGCGCTTAACAATACGCGGTGGGTGTAAATTGTGAAATGTCACCAGTTTGTAGAACAATGTACAACTTACGTGGGAAAATGTTATGCGTAACGATAAAGAATGTATTGCTACTATTGATTCCACTTAAGAGAAAGATCTTCTATTTGATATCGATAGTAGTATTACTAAACTACAACATCTAAGCATCAGACATCTTTTTTTAACTACTGTTGTTGCCTAATGCGCGCGCACGTCGCGCAAAAGTGACGTAGGGAGTGCGGTAAATCGTACTACAATCTCCTCGGAGACAATAGCTGACCAGAACCCCTAAACACACTCAGCCCGCTACGGCGATTTCGAGGGAGCGCGCGAACACGTTTGTAAGACACCAAAGCTCCCAGCACCGAGTTATCTAGACTAAAAACCTAAAGACTGGAGACATTCGAACTTAGTCTGTGCAATTGGCGTTTATCATGTATTTACGAATTTTAAAATTATTTTTCTTAGTATTAACCTTAAAAAGGAGAACTCTGGTTATGTGTATGAGGTGTTAATAGTTTTAACTTGTATTCATTTAGCGAGATAAACCATTATAAACTACAAATTGGGGTGACATCTCTGTCGCTGTCAGCCCAGCTTGATAAACATCGGGGATTCGAATCCTGAACTGTTCCAGCGCTATATTCAGCAATAATATTCTCAAACTGTTTTTGTACAATATTGCCTCTACGTCTGTTATTTCCTGTTTAGCAGATGTCGGTATTTTTCTTTAACAATTACCGTACAGACGAAAAAATGACCTTTCAATTCCATTTGAGGGAGGTTCTTATGACTCGTAAGGAATGTTGTATATCAATACTTAATTACTTTAGCAAGTTTTAAATGTATGGTAGTACTTACTGTATCAGCGACTTCAACTACGTAAAAAAAATAATTTGGGCATCGAAATTTGTTTTTGAAAACCTCCTGTTCAACTCTGAATTTAAGCTGTTACCCAAGACGTCTGCGTCATGTCGTTCTTTTAAGCTAATCTTAAAAGATAGAGACATATACTGTCGCGGATAATTTTTTAGATCATTTGAATAGGAATTATTCTTTCAGGCATATTTTTTGGGTTATTTAAACCGTTTTCGCGGCGTACGTAACGAAAACCCACAAAACCTCCGTTTTTTCATATTTTGTTTCTTCACTCCTATAAGTTACAGTGCGATGTTTTAGGACCTATAAGCCTTCCGCTATAAATGCTCTAACCAATACAAGCATTTCATATCCAACCAATAGTTCCTGAGGTTCAAACAAACAAACTCTTCAGCTTTCAGAGAACAAAAAAATTAATATATATCAAGTTTACACAGTTAGGTGTTAAGGTAATATTCGAGCAATTCGGCGTAAAACAATTGTCTTGCCGTTTTGTTTTTAAACCGGACTGAAATATACACCAATAGATTAAATTAAAGATCGAGTTTCGAATGGCGACGTTTTACGTTTAAGGCAATTCAGCTTTCCATCCAGCCTAGCTTCTTTATTATACAACACAGTTTTTTCACACAAGCACCTCCTATGAATTTCTAAATACCAGCGTTTTGAATGTAACGTGAGATTTAGTGAGAAATCACCAGGCAATTAACAATTTCACGCAGAACGTGTTATTTCCTGCGTCTTACATAAGGTGTACGTAAGATGGCGTTTAGTCACATCAATGAAGTTGAAGTTTTAAAGATGCGTAATTGTAAAAAAATGACCTGTAGGGCAGATTCATTATTTTTGCTTGATTTTTGCTATCAAGTTCCCCCCACTTACTTTTTGAGAGGCAAGATGGAGCACACCTCTAAACCTCTTCGAGCAACACGCTTTACAACTGAGATACTAAGACGGGTAATATGGGCCTTTACTTGCGGAGAAGATTGAAAAAAAAAATAAGAATCGATTTTAAGGTAAAAAAAATAGGACACGGGCAGGACTGGAACCCGGCATCCACAGCGTTACGTGATGTTGCTCTGAGCAAAGATTTAAAAAAAATGCGACTTTGTTTTTAATGTATATAATGCCATCATGTGCAAAATATTAATTTTTCAAATTGAAGGACGTTCTGTAAAATATTGTAAATAAAGATTAAAAACTTGCTTTTCTGATGAAATATTTAAAGCCAAAAAGGGATAGACCGCGCATCTTTTTTTAAAAAAAGTACATAATGCAAACCATTTCGTAGATAAGAACGATATGCTTATGTTTATGGAAATTATGCAAATTTTATGTAAAATCATGGATTGATAGCAAATGCATCTAGCTTTACTTCAAATAGTATACTTCGATTCCATGGTAGATCAGTTTTTGCAAGATTGATTACTATCATCTAACAATTAATGTGACATTAGAATTATCAAATGTTCGGCGGCAATTTTGATTTGTATATATGGTCTTGTCAATGACTTAGGAGTTAATAACACGAAGTAATTGATTAGAAGCTTTTACTTTTCACACTCTATGACAGGAAAGTTAAATAAACTAAGTAATATTTATATACTGTTTAATAAAAAAAAGATTATAATTACATTTTGTGACAAATAGCTACGAGTTTAGCAAAAAGAAATGCGCGATTTTTTTTCTTTTTTATATTTTATGAAAGACGTCCTACCGTCTGTTGTATTACGAGTTGTTGAGTTCATCGAATTGTGTTACATCGAATTTCTTTAGTATACATAATTTTGTGTACACAATTACAATATTAAACAAAACACGTTAAACTTATTAACAATTGATTTTAACTACGGCTCTTCCTTTTAGATTTTACAACACGATTACAATAAGTTACAAATCAATTATTAGTTTTAATGTTAATCGTATTTAAAGAATATTATTATTAATATAATAATATTATTATTAAACATAATGATATTATTATATTTGCATTATATAATTTAATTAATAAAAATATATACTATAAGAGTCGGATTTAGAACAATAAAAACCTCAAGCGAGATAAAATTCAAAACAATTTTAGTATTATTAAAAAAACTACACTTTAAGCCAATAAATTCGTAAAAAAAGTTTTAAGTTATTAGAAGTAGGCTATATGTGTGCAATTATAGTATTTAATACAAAAAACTACAGCCATCTTGAAAAATTATACCCATATAAACAATATTACACATTTTTTCTCGCCATGGCCAATTACCCGCTAAGCAGACAGCGATCACAGCGATTGTGAATAAAGGCGATATCGCTAATATCACTTTCGAGAGCTCTGGCACGTAACAAGTTGTGCAAGTCGCCACTATTGGTGATGCAGTTGCACCAACTTCCTCCATATGGCCTCACCTCAGGATTCACGCCCCACTTCTGTCTCGCAACTCACATTCCTCCAATTCGATGAAATAAAAAAATTACTTACTTAAATTGAGTGTGGTATTATAACTTGAGTGTGGCGCCGCTGTCCACACTCTAAGGACTTGCTGAAAATCAGTTTCAGGTCAACAAAGGACCTGATATAAACTGAGTAAGATCCTATTCTACTAGCAGCACACGACATTATCCTATCTTATTATATTAAGTTATACTATTAAGATAAAATTATGTTTTGTTTTTTTTTTATGTTTTAGTAATAAGTGTAACATGTGTTTTTGTGTGCCTTAGTAGTAATTTTTTTTTCTTCTTTCTTCTTCCTTAACTTAATTTAGCTCAGTTAGTCGTAAGACAAACTCATCTTTGCATCTAAAAAATGCTGCGGTACCTAAATTTAATACACTTTTTATTTGGTAATTAAAGTAATGAAAAATATAAATAAATAAACATTCACAAATAAAAAATAAGAAACTTATTGGCAAACCATTTCTTTAACAAAATATAACATAATCAACAACGTAACTATGCAGTGTAGACACTACACAATTACAAGAAACCGCAGAATGGTGTAATATTTTCAAAATAATAAAGTCTAAAGTCTGGTTTAAAATTTAAAGTAAAAATAAATTCCCTCCAATTTCCAGGTGGAGACAGGTCGTGAAGAATTGAAAAAGGAACGAGAGATTATGCAGTTGGTGGCTGGTCTTCAGCTAAATTCCGACGAAATCGAAAGACGGGAGATCCCGCCGCACATGATGAGGGGACGACATGCGCCAAGGTACTAACTCCTTCCATCACCTTAACAATAATTTAACCTAGCTAGCCCGGAAAAGCTATTTTGGGCGACATATTTATTCTTGCAAATAACATCCATAGCTCGAAAGCCCACAACGACGAATAATCTCTCCACCTTCCGTTGTTTTCTCATTTCCTTCTGTTTTTTCGCATTGATCGCAGCTTGGTGTTATAGCCTTTCTCATTAAATGGTCCAACCAACACAAAAATATTTTTAAATTTAGAACCAGTCGTTCTTGAGATTAGTGCATACAAACGAACTTTTGAGCTTTATAACAAAAGTATAGATACGTCCAACTTTAAACGGTTTAAAACTAGAAAAAAAAAAATCACAGATAGCAAGCTAGAGAAAAGAAACAACCTGTCAATTTAAATTTTTAAAAATGATTAAAGTTGCTCTTTTTAGAATAAGTTTAGTTTTACTTGTTATAAATTGTTTTCTCCTTATCATTCCATCTATGATTAAGTAGATAGTTAATTTCTTAGGATTTAAGACTCACGGAGAAGCTTAGTACTTTGTAAAAAAATATAAATTAAAAATATATATTCCATTTCCAGGTAACATTATGCCAAAGTCATCGGCGCAGGAGTGCCATCACAACCAAAACATTAAGAAGCACCTTTCTTCCAGGATTCATTTCTCTTGTACATACATGAAGAACGATGATTTAACAAATTTCATCGCGTGTAACAGGAGACAGGAATCTTAACGTCTAAGTGAGGTTAAACATTTAAAGCATATGACAGTTTTTTTATGTTAAATTATTTATTAAATAATAATGATATAATTATTTTACAGTAGTATGTTTAGTGCATAAACACAGCAATGCATATTTAAATAAAATACCTTAACGGTTTAAGACGCGATCTATATTAGTTAAACTTAAATTTATTTTTACTACGTGACCACGTCTGCTGCAAAACATCGGGCCATAGTTCTAACAATTTACAAATAAGTTTAACTAAAATATATCGCGTTTTAAACCATTTAAGTGATTTATTAAAATTAATATTTTATCAATAATCTATAATATCTACTTTACTACGCTTTGACGTCCAAGATCCGTGTCTTCTGTTATAGCATCCGTATCATAGTAGTAAAACTTTGTAAGAAAGAGTAGAGAGTAACCGTATATTCATTTATTAGATATATTTATGTTTAAAATGAAGTCTGCATGTTCATAATAATGTTATTTTAATATAAGCTTAAATGCTTTTTCATCATAGGAAACTGAATCACTCTTGCATTAAGATAAATAACTAGATTTGAAATTGTCTTCTTGAATTAATCGAGGGTACCTGAAGAGAATCTAAATTGGAGCCTTAGCCAAATAAGTTATTACAAAATAATTAAGAACGTCGTAAAGAATATATATGGCATTATAGGTTGACTCGGCTACGGCCCTAGTATCAATTCAAAATGTTTTTTCCGCTCTATAGATATATTAAAAGAAAATGCAAGAAGTAAATTTATAAAAGCGTAAAGTACATCGATAAGTTACATGGTTTGAAATTGCGACAAACTGAAATAACACGGCCTTTGTTTTGTAAACATCTGCTCATGTTTCATTGATTCAATCATTCATTGTTTGAAATTATTATCCCAAAATTGTTTTTAATTTTTATTTGTAAAGCGAATAGAGATCGCCGTGAACCACAAGTCTCTTTAAAGCTGGTTAAATTTACGCAGGTGGATATTATTTATCTAAGTGTCATGTTATTGTATTTCATGCAATTATTAATATAACTTACACACACAATTCATAAGAATTAAACCGTTTTAACATCGAAACATATTACCGTTGTTGTGTTCTTTAACCAAATTACTTTATATTGAATGGTAATAAATATTTATAAATTTGGTTAAATATTAAATACAGAAATAAAAAGCGAATAGATAATAATTGTTTAATCTTTTTTTCAATTAATCGCAAAATAACCAGCAAGCTATTGAAAATAGAAGTTTCTAGATTGTATCTCGCGACATCTCTATTTAAACTAGACTGGTCAAATTACATTAAAGTATAGATCAAATGTAAATGAATCAAATAGTACAGAGCTATGAGAGTAAAGACGATTAAAGATAAACAGTCATTTTAAGGCTTCATCTAAGGCATATCTACACTCTTTTTTGAAATTTCTACATCGAAGTCTTATGTAATTGATGTAGTTTGCTTATTTTAAACAACGAGTTTAAAAAATAAGTCTAGTTTATTATTATATTAGTTATGTATGTGTAGTATGTCTATTGTACATTCAATTATTATTACGAGCTACATATAAACCTCATTTTTAAATAATCTAGAATCTGTACATAGATGGTTGTACAAAAATTTGTAATAAGATATAAACCTAGATATTTTATTGTCGACTTATATATTTTGATTTGCATTTGTTATGTAAACACGTTATTATATTATTAAATACATTTAAACATAATATAGGGATTTTTATGTTAGGCAACCGGTTTCCGATTTGGAAATATCTAAAGGAAAGGCCTGTTCAGTGGAACGTAAGCCAGGGAGATTATAAGACAAAGCTTTTGAACGCGTGTTTGCAACGCCATCTAGCGATAGTAGACACTACTGTAATTTTTTACGAATATTTCTCTCAAATCGGAAACCAGATGCATATTTTTTAATGAATTCAGGTGACATGTATATAGATTATATAATAAAATCGCAAATATAGGCTATGAGTGCCATTACAGTTAATAGGTACTTAAAATATCGATAGAAACATCGAATTATCTACTAATGTTGTCAATTGTCTTAAAATATGTACAGTAGTGTATTATGGAGTTTTTTTAGTATTTACATAACCATGTAATCGTAATTCAATTTCAAATGATAAATTATAGTTTGAAAATGGAATGTCTTTTATTTTATTTATAAATATAGTTGCTTAAATACTGTCTATAGTTTACGCGAGTAGTACACATTTAAATAAAACACTTTAACGGTTTAAAACGCGTTTTAAACCGTTAAAGTGTTTTATTTAAATATAGTTGCTTTCAATGTCCTGTTGCACGTACTCAAATAGGTAGTAATTTTTATTGTTATATTCAGAGGTAACATGACTTTTTTTCAGAAAAAAATAATAGTACAAATGATCATGTTAATTTTTTTTAAGAAAATAATAGTACAAGATCATTTGTACAAATATTTTTGGCAGTTACAACGAAACCATACTGTTCAATATCGGTCAAGTTGTTTAGTGTGAAAGAGTAAGGCTCATATAGGCATCACAGTACACATACATAATATAAAAGTAGCATTCTTTAACCTGAAAATAAGTTTTTTTATATATCAATGTACTATTTGATATTAAGTTAAGTAGCGTGAAAATTACTTCTGCCAGCCAGCACTTTTTAGTAATGTCATTTTATTAAAAATATATCTACTGTCTGTAGTTCCACGAGTAAAGATTTAATCATCACACATCGCGATTTAAACCGTTAAACGGATTAAAACGCTATATAGATTAGTTAAACTTATTAAAAAATTGTTTTATCACGGGGTCTACTCGTTACCACGTAAAGATGGAGGGTGTCTCTGACGTCAAAGTAAAAAAAATGCTACGCTAGCGCCCTCTGTTACGTCGAAGTTGGTATTTGGCGAAACAGGCCGTATCCTTGCAGAATTGACTAACGAATTGGCTGCCGGACGGATAGAAAATCCAACGTGATAAATATTGAACTACGAAGGTAGTTGCGATGCTATATTATGATTAGTGGTGCCATCTGTTTGTCCAACCGTAACCATAAAGATTGCCTTATTTAAAATGTGAGTCGTAGACCGCAGACGATTATGTTGTAATTGTACTTGTTGGTAATTTGCAAAGATCTAAGTGTAGCGTTTATAGATGGCGCTGAACACAAATTTAAAAATTGGAAGACATTTCAACAACCATATTAAGAAATTTAAACTCTTTTAACTAAGTAAGTATAATACTTATACCAATATTAAATAATGTCTTAGTTTTACGAGAATAAAACTTAAGCCCACAATTTTCTATTAATGTTTATTTGAACTTTCATTTGGTTTTCACCTTTGAATGTTATTAGTATTTCATTAGTGAGTTATTATTTCGAATAATAAAACTAGTGCACTGCGTTATTACTCAATTAGCCTTACTAAAAAAATATATTAAAATAATTCTTGCATCAAATGTTTGCAATGTACTTAGATACTAGCTGCGCCAGCGACTTCGTCAGCGAGAATCCTTATTTTGGAAATTCAAATTCGTTTTTGCATTTACCTTCTTCGTCTCTATAAACTTAAGTTACCCACGACGTCGGTCGTGACCCCTCCCGTCGCTCTCGCAACTTAATCTTAAAAGATAGACATAAAGCGAAAGAATCATTCTTTCATACATATTTATTCTGTATCTTGAACCGTTTTTGCAGCGAAAACCCATAATGATGAAGAAATTTCCCAATTTTTTTTACATTTCTCGCTGAATCTTCGCTCGTATGAGTCACAGGGCAATGATTTATAGCCTATAGCCTTCCTCGATAAATGCTCTAACAAACACAAAAATAATTGATCAATTCGCACCGGTAGATTGAGATTAGCGCGTTCAAACAAACGAGCAAACCCTTCAGCTTTATATATTAGAATAAATAAATAAAATTAAAGTTCAAAATTATCATTTGATGGAATCATTTATATAAACGACTTATTCGCTCCAGCTATTTCGACGGAGAAAATAAACAAGCATTCGTTTATCCATCCTTACAAGCTCCCGCATTAATAAAAAGGATATTGATGTTTTCGCGTTATTAACTTGGAGGAGTAAAGAGATCTTTCTATAAACCAGATACGCTGGATCGTTATTAGAAATTTAATAAGCATTTGTCTTAATCGCCGTCGGTTATTCAAGCGATAAGTACGGGTGCAATTAAGAGCCGGAAAACTAGATCATTCGTTGTACCAAGAAGTAATCGTGTAGATTATCATTTGTAAGAAATATAATTAAGCTAATCGGGAACTCAATAACAAGAAAACACAAATATATTTGTTGAATATAAAAAAATACTTTAAGCCTTGTTTAAGTCCGTAGCTCAAATGAAAGCCTTGCATTGAGCATAGTTCAAGAGGACCCAGGTTTAATCCCAGGAAATAATTTTTTTATGGTTTGGAGACAGGTCAGATATGCCCCAAAAAGGTGTGGCTTCCATGGTGTCAATTTCCTGAAATTAGATATCATGTACGAAAATAAAGTACATTTTGTTATTATCACATAATTGGGTTGACGCTCAAACGTCAATCCACGTTTGGGCGTCCTCGTCTAACGGGTTTGACGGGCTTACTGGTGTAATGGTAGCAATGTGCGCCTAATAATCAACGGGTCGAGAGTTCGAGTCTGACCGGGTCAATTTTTTTTCTAATTCTTAAATTTATAATTTTCTGAAACATGTTGGACTTAATCTGGATGTTAAATGGCTGGTAGGAAGTTCGACACATAAGAAAGTTGTGAATTTTAATTACGTACGCTTTCACCTGTGGATCTCCGAATATCCAAAGCCAAAATAGGTCGATAGCGCACCTTGTTTAGATA